GTGGTTAACGTATAGCATCGCTGTGTGATCCTTGTTTTTTTAAATCGGTGTTGTTTTGCGTGATATTTGGCATTAAGCATTTGAATCATTTTCATTATGTTAGTTTTATATTAAATTTAAATTATTTCCAGCAATTTAATTAAGAATATTAAATTTAATTAATTTAATTGATAATTATTCTTATAACAATATAAAATATATTATACAAAACTCACATAATACACTGTTTCACAGTATTTTAGTTCATTTATTTAAATATAATATAATGTTAATTTTATTTCGTTGCAAGTAAATATTATACAGTTTGAATTATTCATAAAATATTTGTTTAATTTTTATTTAGTTACTCATAAGAAAGTAATAGTAAATACAATATAACTACACACAAGCTAAATATTAATCACGACCATAATGGAAAAATTCACTACTAGTATATTTTTATATAAAAATTTATATAATATTTTAAGAGCAATAATTAATCATGTTGTTTTTTTGCAGTATTTCCATTTTATTTAGTTGAAACTAAAATATCAATCTATATGTCAATCATTAAATGTAAAGCTTATTTGGCATGCGCATTATAAACAATCAAAGTTTTATAGTAAACTTTTTTACCTTTTAATTATTTATACAATATTAGAAATAAGTGGTGTTAGCCAAACTACCGACCATGGTCGTCCTTGAATTATTACAGATGGCTAATATACATAGTTTAAAACACAATTCTGCTTCAATCACACTTCTAATCTTTAAACTTCTGTCTAACTTTAAAGCTTTTACCCCTTTGGCTAACCCTAGAAATAAGTATACATGTAATAAGAATAAATTTTTAAATCAGAAAAGCTTACTTATAAATGTCAAATATAAAATTTTATTCTATATAGAAAACATGCAAGTATACATTCGTACAACATATTATAATTTATGATATAAATAATCAATGATTATTAATCATATTTAGCTTTGTTTTGTTTAAGTTATGTACATTTAAATAATCCATGATTAAAGGCAACTAAAATATTCTAGATAATTTACAAAGTACAGTTGAAATAACTACTTATCAATCCATTTTAAATTCTACTTATTAGTTTTGAACATATTATAGGTTAACTTCTTATAATTAAGAAATGTACAGTATATCACTGTTAAAACAATATTGTACAGTGTACAATGTACACATAAAATATTAACATACATGCAACAACATACTTTATAAACCCAAACCGGGTATTTTATTGAAATTAATATAAAATATTTTTTATAATATTCTCAGGGTTACATTTAAATAGTGAAACATTAATTATGGTTATATTTAGGTCATAATTTGGGAAATAGGGTCAAATTTATCATGAAATTTATATTTTTGTTTATTTGTCCTTTTTAAATGTTACACCTTTTTGACGTTTGACCCAAACCTTTACAAAACACGGTAAAATCGTAGGTGGGTCGAATTCGAAGAAGTGTGGGAAACTACCAGCCCTTAGTGCCCTGTAAACAACCTGGGCACAATTATTTTTGAGCAACTTGTAATTCTCTGTGCCTTTGCGCGCATCCTTTAGAAACCGTGTCCACCACTTTTTCACACTTTTTACATAAATCATATGGTCGGGGATGTGAAGGTATTCATCGGGCCCTCTGCCTATATAATTAAAATAAATGCCTTGTTTTAATATACAAAGTGTCTCAGAATGTATAGCAAACGGTCCAATAAACCACTTTCTTCATAAATGGAACTTGATTAAAAAATATTTAAATAATTGCTCATCAAATATGATTAATAGTAATTAATGTGTTTTTAACCGCAATTCAGCTATGAATAATGTGATTTATATGATTGTTTTGCCCCTCCCTCCAGCCCCCACCCTATGGGATTACAGCATAACTCTATGGCTATATTTTAACATGGATAATTCTAAGTCCATGGCAAAGCTAATCATATGGACAATGTTAAGTCTATGGCATAGGGATAATATGGGTAATCCCACACGCATAGCATCGCTGTGTGAGCCTTGTTTGTTGCCTTTAGATCGAAAATTTTATTATATGATCTGTAACACATTGTAGATTGTAAATTGTGTACTTTACAACGTACCTTCATCTTCCATGTCATTAATAAACGACAATTTATGGGCTGGCTCAGAATTCAGACATTTTATCGTCACTTTAGGCCAGTGGCTAATGTAAATGTCCTCCTCATCATCAATAATTCTAAGCGCCAAATGACCAATTTGCAAATTTTTAATCGAAGGTCCCCAATAGTACACCTCTACCTGCGGCGCGTACACCACCTGTATTAGAATATAATGTATTTTGTATCAAAATAATTTTGATCATTAATCTTACCTTTTGTTTTAGTACTTGTTTTGGTACTTGTTCTTTCTCCTGTTTTTTGCTGTAAACTTGTTCTGTCATTATTGCTTATGGTAATAGCAAAATGTGATCCAGCTCAACTTAATTTATTTCAGTATGAATAAACAAATGTTTACTTAATAGCGAGTTTCTGCACTTAACTTGGATTTGATGCAACTGTTTGCATTACCTTTATTTATAAGTAATTATGCACTATTCCCTACCTTGTAAATTGCACGTAGACAATACTGGTATTGCATATTTTGTTAATATCAATACATAGTTATGTTAAAATTTAACAGTTAACAGTTATTTAACAGTTGAATAATTTGGTTGAATATTAATAATGTGCAATTATCATATGTAGTTTATAATAAACACTTGAGACAGATCTTGTTAGTAACGTAAGCACTAATTTGTAAAAGCAAACTATTTCTTTATTCTATAATATAATTCATTATAATATAATGCATATTATGCTTTTAACATGTTTAAACAACTATATTACAATGATTCATTTTATGCATAACCTTAATATTTGTAAATATGTTGTACACGATATGGGTGTTTCAAAACATAACTGTTTAGCACAAAGTGGTTATCACTATATGGTTATCACCTGAAATAATAAAGTAGTTGTTTTGTATATAAAAATAAATGTTTATTAAATTTAAATATAATAATCTATATAGAATTAATAGTCTCTATTTAGTGGTGTTTTTAATTAAGATTATGTACAGCACTTTATGTTTAATTATAGTGTATAAATGAAAACAATTTATTTTTATTTTTAACAACGTTTAATTTTAAATTTTATTATTGTTAATGTATGAAATATTTGGTGACGAAAATCTGTCTATAGTAAGAGACATGCGAAAATTAAAGGGAACTAAACATATTGACGTGGTTTCTGATTCACCTTGTTAATTTGTTAACATTATATATAATTAAGCCATGAATAAGGTATAAATTACAAAGCATATTAAAATACTGTGTACGCCTAGATTATTAATAGCCAACGTAGGTATGCCGCATACCTTAGTGTAGCCACATGTCCAATTAAAATATATAACTTGAATATATACATAATTAATTTATCAAATTGACAATTAACAAGCATTTCCCAATATTTCACAATCTAACATATTTTGGATCGACATTTGATTGTGAGCAATTTTTTTCATTAATGAAATCGATTAAAAATGACAAAACTGGTAGTATTTGCGCAAAAACATTGAGATCACGTTTGAAGATATGGTCATCAAATACGATTGAGTCAAATATTAATAAAATTGTTGATAAACGCAAACAATATAAGAAATCTCATTAAAATGTGATTTAATAATTAAATTTTGTTTTAAATAACGTTTTGTGGATAGACTGAAAGCCAACCACTTATAAAAATGGGTGAGAATAAACATAAAAATGGTGAGGCCTATTAGGTTGACCTTCACGTGGTGTTTCTTGTTTAATACAGACAAACCTAAACCGTTGCGCCACCTTTTTATGGCATACTGTGAATCTGTACTTGTGATATACTAAAAAAGGTTGGCTATCTAAAGCCTAGATGTACTCACACAATCTTACTAGTCTATAGTGTCTTTGTTACACGTTGTATTTAACTATTTTGCAATAAATAAATGTTTAGAATATTTAATTTATTATAAAACTAGTTAATTATTATTTAGATTTTAAAATAAACCTACTTAATTATATATAAAGTTATCATTATAATTATATTTATTTTTGTTATAAATTATAATATCAAACTTGTTTTACTTAAAACTTTCTTTATAATATTAATAATATAAATAATCATTAATGATATTCTCAAAATTATTTGTAATCAATGTCATTATTTAAATATAACGATTATAAATTTAATATATTGGATTAAATGAAAACTTAGTTCTTTAATGGTAAAGCCGTGTAGCTAGAATTCTGAAATTAGTTTCATAATTCAAGTTGAATCTTTAGGCACCAGAATCTAAGTTTAATCAAGATCAGAAGAATAGTTTAAGAACAGGATTTTTTAAAAGTTTGTCAGTCGGAATTAGTTATATAAGGAACTAGGTTCTCATTCAATCCAATATTTTTCAGTAGTTGAATATGTTAACAGAATAGATTATTAATGAATTATACCAATTTTACAATGAGCAAATAACAAGCGCAGCAAACGTACACGTAGTGACACAACTCGTTGCTATTCATGGGAAACAAATCCAAACAATAGTAACCAATTGTAGGACCGGTCAGTCGGGCGGCGAACGCCTCTACTCGCAGCCTATCTATGACAGGAATAACCGGATTTTGGGCCAAATACCCGAATAACCGTCGATAGGGTCGGTGCGCCGGTTTGGCTATCCAGGTGCTCATCGCTATGACAGCTAACGCCAAACTTACCAAACATACATTGCATACAATAATTATTATTCTGCCTAATACTTTAACGCGGCTATTGTGCAATCCGTATACGCTTAACAAAATAGCCGCCGTTACCACGTAGTAAACAATAAACATGATGTATTTAATCAGATAATTAGCTTGCTGCACTTGCTGCTCCCAATAATGGTGAATTTTAATAGTGCACATTAGTAGCCGAGTGTCACTAGTCTGTAACCCATACGCTATTCGCTGGTCAACGGCCCGGTAGGTGGCGCTAAAATAAATTGTGCATAGTAGAAATTGCATGAATCCGCACCAGGTTACGCCTACCAGATGCCACGTTGTGATAAGCTCGCTTGAATAAAATATTAACATGCTAATAAATCATATGATGGTTGGATTATGTAGTAGCAACATGGTATTTATGATCCCGTATATTATGGCTATGACAGTAAATTCTACGTAAACAATCTTCATCATAAATTTTCGTATAAATAAACAACTAGTTATTATTGATTTACGCTTGGTTGGATTGACCATATTTTAACATATAATATTGTTTAGCGAGGTATAATTTGCCGGTTAGTTCATGATAAATGAGCACAGCGCCAATTGTGATCACCGAGATCAAACCGGTCAATAAAAGCATGTAATACAAGTGACGATTGCCCACAAATTGATCAATGTCAAATAATGCCTCCAATATAGCCGGATTATTTATGAATAAAAAACAACCGACACGTATTGTGACAAATAGTACGGCCAGTCGTATAGCGATAGCATTCTTAAGCCTACCGGAGCTCCGCTGGCCTGCGATATACTCGTCGGACGATCGCATGACTGTTATGTAAGTACTGGAGCCCAGCCTTTCCAGGCCCTCAATAGCCGCCCGGATATCGCTGTTATCGCTGACCATTCGCCGTATTTTTGCTTTAAATCGGTGTTGTTTTGCGTAATATTTGTCATTGAGCATTTGAATCATTTTCATTATGTTAGTTTTATGTAAAAATTTATTATTACCAGCAATTTAATTAAGAATATTTAATTTAATAATTATGCTTATAACAATTCAAAATACATTATACAAAAATTACATAGTACAGTGTTTCATGGTATTTTAGTTTATTTGTATAAATATAGTATAATTTAAATTCGCTGCAAGTAAATATTAGATAGTTTGACTTAATCATAATATATTTGTTTAGTTTTTATTTATTTACTCATAAGAAAGTAATGAGTAAATATAATTCTACACACGCTAAATATTGATCACGACCATAATGGAAAAATTCACTATATTTTTATATAAAAATTTATATAATATTTTAAGCGCAAACATAATTAATCATATTGTTTTTGCTGTATTTGCATTTCACATAGTTTGAACCAGAATAACAATCGATATGTCAATATTTAATTGTATTTGGCATACTTATTATAAACAATCAAAGTTATCATGATTCCTTTTAATTATTTATGCAATTTAAAAATAAGTTAATGGTAATCGTGGTAACAATAACATTTTAATCAGAAAAGTTTCATATTGCTAATTTATGATATAGATAAGCATTTAAATTTTTTAATTTCTAATTAAATTAAATTTCTACAGTTAAATAAAATAGAATATTAATCAGGGTTATATTTAGGTTATAATAAGGGACATAGGGTTAAATTCATCAACAATTTATAATTGTGTATCATTGTCCTTTTTTAAATGTAACACCATGGTAACTTTTGACCCACTCCGTTACACCGCCTGGTGAAATCATAGGTGGGTACAATAAAATGTAGTGCGGGAAGCTACCAACCCTTAGTGCCTTGTAAACAACTTGGGCACAATTTTCAAAGAGCAAATCGTAATACTCTGAGCCTTTGCGGGCATCCTTTAAAAACTGTGTCCACCACTTTTTCACACTTTTTACATTTATCATATGATCAGGGATGTGAACATATTCATCAGGACCTCTGCCTATATAATTAAAATAAATGCCTTTTTAAAAGTATACATTATATATTATTATAGCATGCCTCTTTATAAATAGAGGTTAAAATATTTAAACAATTGCTCATCAAATATGATTAACACTAATTAAAATGTGTTTTGTTGTAGATTAAAAATTTTATTATATAATCTGGGACAAATTGTAAGTTGTAAATTTTGTACTTTATAATGTACCTTCATCTTCCACGTCAAATAAGAACGACGATTTTTGGGCTGACTCAGACATAATAAATTTGTACCATTTCCTAGGCCAGTGGCTAATGTAAATGTCCTCATCATCATCAATGATTCTGAGCGCCAAATGACCAAGTTGTCCATTTTGAATTGCTGGTCCCCAATAGTACACCTCTATTTGCGGCGCGTACACTGCCTGTATTAGAATATAATATATTTTGTATTGTATCAAAATAATTTTGATCATTAATCTTACCTTAAGAACTGAGCCTCGCTTTTGTTCTAATACTTGTTGTACTTGTGGTACATATGTTTGCTCCTGTTTTTGGAATAATGCCGCAAATGACTCCCAAAATGACCCCCAGGATGACTGTTGCTGTTCCTCGCGGTAAACTTGTTCGGTCATTATTGCTTATGGTAATGGCAAAATGTGATCCAGATCAATTGAATTTATTTCAAAATTAATATATAAATGTTCACTTAATAGCAAGTATCTTCACTTGACTTGGATTCGAGGCAACTGATTGCATTACCTTTATTTATAAGTTACAACTATGCACTATTCACGACTTTGCACGTAGACAATACTTGTATTGCATATTTTGTTTTTCATAGTAGTGTAAAATAATGTGGGTGAATATTAATAATAAACAATTATCATATCTTGTTTATAATAAACACTTGAGACAGATCTTGCTAGTAACGTAAGCACTAATTTGTAGAAATAATTTATTTCATATTCTTAGAATATATATTTTAGCATGCTCAAACAATTATATAACAATTTTTAATTTTATGCAGTGCTCTGTGAATATGTTGTACACAATATGGGTGTTTAAACACATAACTGTGATGTTCACTATATGTAAGATCTGAAGTAATAAAGTAATTGTTTTTAAATTTAATGCAGCATTAGTCCCATTTTATCTAGTTAAAACTTGAATAACAAACTATATTTTAATATACACTAAAGTATTAAAATAACAGTTAAGAATAATTATAACAATTTAATGAGAAAAACTTATACAATTTCATTCTTTACTTACAAAACAAACAAGTATACCTTAGTACAGCATATTATAAATTTTAATATAGATAATTATTTTGAGTTCTGTTGTGTTTAAATTATGTAAATAATACGTGATAAAATGCAAGTAAAATAATTTATATAGCAACAATTTAAATAACTATTTTTCAATATTTTTAAATGCCACTTATTAGTTTGGAACAAATTATAGTTTAACTTTTTATAATTTAAAAAAATATTATTGTTAAAACAAGTTCACATAAAATATCAATATTTCACTCGGAGCAGGCTATTTTTATAGAAAAACAATATAAAATATTTTTATAATGTTTTCTGCGCTACAGTTAAATAAAAAAGATCATTAAACAGGGTTATATTTAGATTATAATAAGGGACATAGGGTTAAATTCATCAACAACATAAAATTATAATTGTGTATGATAGTCCTTTTTAAATGTTACACCACGGTAACGTTTGACCCACTCCTTTACTCCATATGGAGTGATCATAGGTTTGTATAATACAATATAGTGGGGGAAGTAACCAGCCCTAAGAGCCCTGTAAACTACTTGGGCACAATTATTGACGAGCAAGTTGTAATTCTCGGTGCCATTGCGGGCAGCGTTTAGAAACTGTGTCCACCACTGTTTCAAACTTTTTACATTAATCATATGGTGAGGGATGTGAAGATATTCATCAGGACCTCTGCCTATATAATTAAAATAAATGTGCTTGTTAAAATGATACAAAGTTTCTCAGATTATATAACATAGAACAGGGGAGAAAGGGGTGGGACAAACGAGATTTTCTATATAAATGAATTTTGGTTTAAAATATTTAACAATGGTTTTTTTTAAATCTAATATATTTTTTTGCGATTAAAACTTTTTTAATGTAATCTGAAACACATTGTGAGTTGTATTTAATGTAATTTATAATGTACCTTCTTCTTCCATATCAAATATAAATGATATTTTCTGCCCTTTAGGCCAGTGGCTAATGTACACGCTAGTGAAAACGTCAGCAGCATCCGTGTCCTCAATAATTCTGAGCGCTAAATGACCAACTTGTAAATTTTTAATTGACGGTCCCCAATAGTACACCTCTACCTGCGGTGCGTCCACTACCTGTATTAAAATATAATTTATTTTGTATTGTATCAAGATAATTTTGATCATTAATCTTACCTGATTACAGTAAGTAAGAACAGGTCCTCGCATTTGTTTTCTTACTTGTTTTTGCTCCTGTTTTTGGAACATTTGTGCCCAAAATGACTCAAAATATGACGGTTTCTCTTGGTAAACTAGTTCGGTCATTTTTTTGCTTGTTGTAATGGCAAAATGTGATCCAGCTCAATTGTATTTATTTCAGTATTTCAGTAGAATAGACAAGTGTTAAGTTTTGTAGCGCATTTTATTAAATGTTTATCGACTTTAGCGGTTATCTGCACTTGATTTAAGGTATATAGAATCGGGGCAACATTATACTTGATATATAAGTTATATAATATAACCTTAATAATTGCACGTAGACCAAACTGGTATTGTATATTTTGCTTATACATAGTTGTGTAAAATAATGTGGGCGAATATAAATAGCGTGCAATTAGGATATCTTGTTCATAATAAACACTTGAGACAGATCTTGTCAGTCACGTTAGCATCAATTGGTAGAAGCAAATTATTTCATAATTCTAGAATATAAAGGGGCAGTCATTATATCTCGTACACGCGGTTTTGCTGATTAAGGAGTTATCACATTACAAATTATACATGGGGACCATCTCAATTTTCTTATAGTTTGACCAATAACATAATGATTCAGAATTGTATTGAACAATTGTATAATATAATAATATTATATTTTCATAATTATTAGTAATCAACATGCCATTATTCAAATATAACTATTATGAATTTAATATAATAATAACTTAATAAAATAAAACCAATATAAACTTGATATAATAAATATATCTTAAATAACATTTTTGATCATTGCTGTTAATAGCGTTCAATAAAGCTATTAAATTATTTGTACAAATAAAATGACAATTTAAAATAAACAGTATTTTATATTTAATCATTATTTGCATCGATTTAAATAACGTAAATAATATTATACATACTATGAATGAATAGATTGGTTTATAAGTAAATATTTAGAATGGTATGATTTAAAATAAATAGCTTAATAACATTTAATTAAAACCTATTGAGTATTTTGTCAAAGTTGCTAAACAATTTAACTTCAAATACTAATTATATTGCCTATAAATTGACACTTTATTTATAATAAATTTTATATTTGGTTAAAATTATATTCAAGTATTGTTTAATAATGAATGAAAATATTAAATGTAATGAATTATTGCCTAAAGACTTGCAAATACAATCAGCAGAGAATCAATTGTATAAAATCGGGTTATCATTATTTAAGCCTAAAATACCCATAAAACAACCATGGTACTCATGGCCTATCATTATAATCATGACACTATTGTATTATTTATTCGCAAACTCAACTTGTTTAATAAATAATGGGCGAAATGAAAAAATCGTTTTAGTTTTTGGTGATTTTTCTCATTTAATTGGTGCCGGAATTTACTTAAAAATTGCAATTAATTTATTTATTATAATTATTTTGTGCATTCAATCAATATATCACTACAACTATTGGTGTGGTATTGAACCGACATTTCTCCGGGTGTTTGCTATGATGTCAGGTATGGTTACCCCCTATAGTGTCGGTCTCTCTGACCCCCGATCTCTACACCGATTGCTTAAAACATTTAAAATAATATTTAAAATAAACCATTTTATTTGTGATAAAACCGCACCATTTATCGGCATTGTCTGTCTTTTACCATATTTAATATATCGGCCATTATTTGAGGCCCTGTTGTACGGCATGGCCAACAGCTTATTATTTAGCTTAATTTCCTACCACGTTGTCAACCAAACGCTATGGCAGTTAACATATTATTATTTATTATCATATTATATAAAATGCAAATTAAATACAATTAATGAAAGAATTAGTACAGAATTTAATAATTCATATAATATTCTGTTAGTATTAAAACGATTAAATACTATTTACACTGAAATCAATGAATATAACATTACTTATTGGTCAAAGTATTTATTAGTTATCTGGCTCATAATGGGCTCGATTATAGTGGTGGATATTTATACAGTTACATTCATCAATCTAAATCTGGCCATTCAATTTATGCTAGTATATTGCATATTAATTATATTAATAACATTTTTGGTCATCCTATTTACCGCATCATCCGTTAATTATACAGCAAATAAATCGTATAAAATATTGAGCACTAATTTTGTTAGTTTTTATTTAAATAATTAACATTAAAAATATTAATTAGTATATTTCATTTATTTATTTGTATACTTAATTATCAATAATAGTAATTAACAAGATGAATTTAATGTCACCTAAAACAATGGTGTATTTTCTACCTTATTTCACAAAGTATCATTGCATCTGCAAGTTAGAAGTATTGTAATTAAATACTGCGCTAAATATTAATAAATATTTGAAATTGTAATAAATAACATCATTGATCAAAATATAGTTTTAAGTGACAAAACATAAAACAAATTACTTAAAATATTCACCAAATCCATTAAACCAATAATATCTATGTTAAATGAGTTTATTTCTACCTTGATAAATATTTTTATTTGTTTACAGTTATTCAATGATTTATTTTATACTTCATAACAATACATACAATATATTTGTAAATTAATTTTTTTAACAGTCACAATAATAATTATAATTGTAAGAATATAATCTAAAATGATAATTTGTAAAAATATTTAACACCTTGTTTGATTTTTAAATTCACTTAATCTTAATTTAACAAGTAACACGATATTTAATTACTGAATAAATGAATTAAAATTATTATTATAAAAATTAATTGATGTATTTAATATTTTTAATATGATAATACTTGTTCATAATTTAAAATAATTTTTCCAATTATAGATTTAATATAATCAAGGACACTAGTTTTTTACCCTTTATTAAATAAAATTATACATCATACTGTAGAATCTACAGTGTAGATGCAAACAACCATATTGTAAGAATTGAAGTAAATTAAATTTATATAACTATTACTATGGGATTTGCAAAATTAATTTCACCTTGATGACAGCATTTATTATATTTAATACCACCACTATTTTACAAGACATTTAATAAAAATAAATGACTTATCTAACTTTTTGGCAAAAACACATCATAACTAAAATAAACAGACTAATTAAAATTAAAAGTATTATTAATTAAAAATAAAACTACCAAAAAATTGCACATTTAACTACTGTAGTTTTATAAACTTATTTAGCTTATCAATTATTTAATGTATATATTATCGGTTATATACTGTATGAGTAGACGTATAGAGTAGAGGCCCAGCAGTGACTACAGTAGACGTAACGGTTTCAGCAGTTGTTATGCATTGCATACCAAACATAACGTCTATTTAATCCACTGATAAGACTGATAGACGTAATAACACAATACAAACGCCTATCGGTTTAGTGTGTGAAGTGATGTACTGTTTGTTGTGTTGTTAAGTGTGTGGTGTATGTGTTGTACGGTTTCTTTCTTATTGTGATAAGGTGATTTAATAATACTTGTAATTATACTTGTAATTGTTTGTTCGCTTATAAGTGTGTAATTTACACTAATAGATAGTGTACAACACAGTTAATTATTTTTAATTATTGTACCAAGAATCTTGGTCCAAGATTGCATACATTTTTGTTTGGTATCAAATAATTTTACCAAAAATTATTGTATATAAATAAATAGTATTTTTTTGAAATTATGAATAATTTACGACAGTTAAATAAATGCTGTACACATTTACCCCATCGAACAAGGTCGTATTTGTGCTCAAGGTTAGTATTTTGGGGGTGAAACTAACCTCGTTATAATAAAGTAGCTGATATATTGTTAGCTCTGCATGTGTTTACAGTTGCATAGCTTACATATGTTTTGTATGAATACAGTCGACTCCCGCTATTTTGTATGGAATTAGTCAGTGCATGGTACATTGATGAGCAAATATAATTATCTCTATAACGTACAAATGCCCCTGGTTATTTAATTGTTTAATTTAATATTGGTTACTTTAATTATTCTATAAGAAATGTATGCATTTATAAACGCAAATAGACTGTAGCTCTTGATCTTGAAAACTATTATAAAGTTTTACCCAAAAATTAAAAACATAACTAAATAACAGATAAAACTACTATTTAATAATTAAACAAAATATTAATACTAAACATCATTAACTAAATTAATGCATAATATAATTAGAAAATTACAAAATTAAAACTTATCACAAAAAAGTACTAAAACTTTATATAAAAAATTAATTCTTAAAAAAATTAATCCATTTTTTACCTGCAAAACAATTAACAGATATTTATCGTCAATACGATTGCCATCTATAGAGGAATTTGAGGTCAAGAATGAGCCGATTCTGGGCTATAAATCGGGTTCACCGGAGAGACAACAATTGGTGGACAAATTGCAACATTATTACAATACCACTACTGAGATACCCATCGTGATCAATGGCAAACGGTTCACCACCGACCAGGTTCATTTATTATGTCATCGCTATACAACTGCTATTTTAGGATAATTATAATAGGATAATTAATATAACCTATGCCCCCACACCCACATACAACCTAGGAACTTTTTTATTACCATTGTTACCTAACACTAATTTTGTAATTAAATTTTAATCAAAAAATGTACCGGTATTTATTATTTGTGTTATAATTTATATTTCATATTGTTTTATTATTATTTTTTGAAAAAATCAAGCCTCAAGAGTAAGTATGTGCACTAGGAGAGTTTAATGAGAGCCTAGGAGAGTTTTACTATGTAAATTCATGCAAGTTGTTGCATAGTTGTTCAGTACATTCTTACTCAAGAGCCTCTTCACCAAATAGCTATTTCTACAACTTATATTAATACCCATATAATTAACTACAAATACCATGATTACAGTCTATAAATACTATCATATACTGGGCAGTACTGTATTGACCATTAAAAAGATCATAACCTGTGATGTGTGTTGTGCCCTATGATCATATTATTTTATGACCTAGCACTAATCCTTTTACAATATTTTATTTTAAAAATTATTGAAATTTTTGACTTTTATATTATGAACTTGTTTTATAATTTTTGTTATTAAAAAATTTAACACCTGAGTTCCATAGCCGAAATAATTATTGTAACAACGTTTATTAATACCCATATTGTTGACCATAAATACCATGATTACAGTCTATATAATACAAACTTAATAATCACTATTATATACTGTATTTAACATTGATTACTATCTCATCTACAGGTGAAATACCAGTGCTCGCCATTTGACCATCAGCGAAAAGTAGCCAAATACTACCTGACCTCACCCGAGCTGTTCCGTCAGGCCATAGAGGGCGGGCAACGGGTGCGCCGGGACTGGGAGGCGCTCAACCTGAACGACAAAATTACCATATTTTTACGGGCGGCCGATCTGATGAGCGGCAAATATAAGCAGGACCTGAACGCCACCACCATGGTGGGCCAGGGTTAGTGTGTGCATAATAAACTAATTATTGTGCAAACATAATAGCATTTTCACATAATTAATACATTGTTTTAATTACACTATTACTACAGGAAAGACAGTAATACAGGCGGAGATCGACGCCGGGTGCGAACTGCCGGACTTTCTCCGATACAACGCTCTGTACGCCAAAGACATGTACAAATACCAGCCCCTGAGCCCACACCCGGACGTCACTACAAACACCTACCGGTATAGGGGTTTGGAGGGCTTTGTGGCCGCAGTGGCGCCCTTCAACTTCACGGCCATTGGCGGCAATCTGGCCACCGCTCCCGTACTGATGGGCAATGTTATGCTATGGAAACCCGCGAGCACTGCCGTACTGTCCAATTGGATCATTTACCAGATATTGGAGGAGGCCGGAGTGCCACCCGGTGCGTGTGCCCTATGATCATATTATTTTATGACCTAGCACTAATCCTTTTACAATATTTTATTTTAAAAATTATTGAAATTTTTGACTTTTATATTATGA